CTGCGGCATGGTATCTCAGTGAGCTAGCACTATAAATCGGCATCAGTCCGGACTAGTACAAGCAGCCACACAAGCAAACACACGTACATGCACGTCGCTATATAAGTGCAATAATCTTGGACGCGACGTTGAACCCCATTTCACCACACCTCACCTCATGGACGTAAAGAAGTCGAAATGCTTGGACAGGTTTTCACGTGACACAGACGTCATACTTAAATGTCATATACGGGTCGAACACAGGAGAACTATGGATATACAGGGCTGAGTGGGCTAAGTTCTAAGCCTTACATAGAAGTAAGTGTGTGATAGTGAAATCGTTTGTTGTGGACATATCATAATGTCATAGAGGTATATCCACAAAACTTGAGTCAATTGAGCAAATTGTGTCCCTGTGACAGGTCTTGAGGAAAGTTCAGGGATCAGGTATTCACGACTCAGAATGGAACGTGTGTAAATGTGAGCTATACATCGAAGTGGTCTGTCAGACTCTGAAACAAATATATTCAATGCAGCCCATGCAGTAAGTCTATAGAAGTTGGCAAGTCTAGGTTACTGTTATACAGACCCTGAAACAAATATCTCCAGTACAGCGCATGCAAGTCAAAAGTAGCTGGCAAGCCTAGATTATTGTTATACAGACTCTGGAATAAATATATCCAATACAGCCCATGCAAGTTTATAGAAGTTGGCAAGTCTAGATTACTGTTATACAGACCCTGAAACAAATATATCCAATACAGCCCATGCAAGTCTATAGTAGTTGGCAAGTCTAGATTATTGTTATACAGACTCTGGAACAAATATATCCAATACAGCCCATGCAAGTCTATAGAAGTTGGCAAGTCTAGATTACTGTTATACAGACCCTGAAACAAATATATCCAATACAGCCCATGCAAGTCTATAGTAGTTGGCAAGTCTAGATTATTGTTATACAGACTCTGGAACAAATATATCCAATACAGCCCATGCAAGTCTATAGAAGTTGGCAAGTCTAGATTACTGTTATACAGACCCTGAAACAAATATATCCAATACAACCCATGCATGTCTATAGTAGTTGGCAAGTCTAGATTACTGTTATACAGACTCTGAAAGAAATATGTTCAATACAGCCCATGCAAGTCTATAGTAGTTGGCAAGTATAGGTTACTGCAGTTTCTGAAAATAAAGACTTTTGGGACTCCTTCTTATTATATTTTATTATATTTGGTTTCTGTAAAATATATTTCATTTCAGAGACTAGTTGTTAGTCTAGGATGCAAATCACTAACTGAAGCACAAGCGACGAACAGTACTATCGGCATGATTAAGTACATTCAGTTTGGGTTTCCGTGTTGGAACATTTTCTTGTTTAACGCCACACTCAGCAATATTCAAGCTATATGACGGCGGTCTGTAAATAATAGAGTCTGGACCAGACAATCCAGTGATTGACATCATGAGCATCGATCCATGCAATTGGGATACGATGACATGCATCAACCAAGTCAGCAAGTCTGACCACCGGATCGATCCCGTTAGTCGCCTCTTACGATAAGCATAGTCGCCTTTCACTGCAAGCATGGGTTGCTGAAGACCTTTTCTTCCCCGGATCTTCACGGGTCTGTTGGAACATGACCTCATGCTTGGCGCAATAGCCGACACAACTGTGGATCGGGTTGCAAGGTCATGTGACGTCGCTGATTGCAAATCACTGTATCCGATAACGTTGATTCCTATCTTGTTTCAGTCATTGATTTGCCCGCTGAAGGGTTTTATTTACACACTGTCATGAAATGGATGGAATATTGCAGACAGCGCGTAAAACAATATTCACTCACAAAGTCATTGAAGAATCATCGGAATAAACACTCCGAGTCTGAAATACAGGTTCTGATTACTAATGCTTCCTGTCTGAACACTATCTGATACACGCGCATCCTAATCAGCGCAACACTTTGCATGCATAAGAGAAAGCAGTTCTCATGAGAGTCTTCTAATACAAGTCATGAAGAATTACTGTTTTCAACTTTACTCAAGTGATAAGATCTCTGCTAGAGCGTTCCGAGCCTCCTAGACAATTGCCCCATCCCAGTGGCACCAACATTGTGGTGTGGGGGAGATAACGAATCTCCACGAGCAGAAACCGCGTAAAGTGGAGATAAGCACACGGTTCAATGGCGTCAGTGTGGGTATGTCTCTCAGCGCTCATCTCAAATCGCCACTTCAAAGTTTACTTTGTCCCCCCATGTATCAAAGCTAGATTCGCGGCAACAACGGTTCCATGTCTTGCATATAACTTCAGTTTGTTGTGATTTTTCGTAGTTTGGAAACAAAAGTCATGACGATATGGCTCTTGGGCAAGATGACTCGGGTGATACACTGTTATACAATCCGCATTCACAGCAGTGAAACGATAACTGGAGATAGCTGCAGCAAACTCGAGACATGTAATGTCCCATATACTCTGGTGGTCCGTTAAGCACTCACCATGAGGCAATAATTCCTTGAAATTGAGACCTGTTATTTTACAGGGATTATTTGACAAATTATGGTTAACTTTATCAAGTATGCCTTGTTTTTAAGAATTCTTGGAACGCGGGATATTATATAATTTTTTTCGTTTAGTTTTCGATGGCGTTTCTCACGCACATTGAAAGCCATATTCAGAGAGGATGAATGCTAATCCAATATCAACTCTAAGCTGTTTATGAGAGAAGCGAGTCACTTTACGACTTAAGGTACTATGTAAGCAAATGAAAAAAGCTAATGATCTCAACTTTGGCCAACTTTATTTCAAGACGTATACTGATTTCAAACACACACACAAACTGCTAGTGAATCATGTAGTGTGTTTGAAACCGGTATGTCTCCACGGGGATGTTAAAAAAATATTGCAAGAGTTTTTGAAAGTTTCAGATAAAAAGTAACTCTCATCCAATTTTGTTAGAAGCATTTACCATGCCTGAGTGAGTATAGGTTTTACGCCGCTTTTAGCAATATCCCAGCAATACCCCGAGAAATGGACATCACACATTGATCCATGAAGAGAATCAAACCCGAGCCTTAGGCGTGACGAGCAAACACTTTAACCACGACGCTACCCACCGTCCCTTATCATTTGTGGGGTGGGGTGGGGTGGGATGCTTGTCTTCGTTTTACGCCGTTTTTAACACAACTCTATCATCATCACGAAGGGGAACACAGAGAATGGTCTTCACATTGCACAAATGTGGCCAATCGAACCCTCAAACGCTTTAACCACAACCGCAGGCTACATCAGCTTCTCTTCTAAAGTGTACACATCAATGCACATTTTCAACAATTCGAATCTAGAATCGTTAACATATTGGTGAACAACATTGTACTTAAGAAATATAATATAACAAGCACAATAAAATAAATTGTAGTTAAGCGAGAGAAAAGAATTATGACGTCAATATACTAGTAATCTTGTCCCACACAATACATGATGTCTGGACATTCTCTTGTTTAATTATTTTATGCTGCTTAATATTACTCAGCATAAGGGACCTACCATTTGATATTTTGGGGGTGAGGGTGCGGGGTGTTATAGGGTGGGGGTGAGACTATAAATTCAAAACAGAAATATCTTGCAACAATGTGTTTTTTTGTGGCATACAAATTCTTTAATTCTTTTTTGTTTTCAACAGTCACAATAATATTTCATTTTGTTAAGCATTTTCTTGGACAATTCCCAACCCCCCTCCTCCCCTTAACATTAAATGGTCGGTCCCTAAACAAAACATGTGATGATGACATTTCAACATCATAAATACCCATCAACCAAGGCACGCTTCACAATATAATAAATTGACGTCATCGTGTCGGTTCGTTCGGAGGAAATGTAATTAAAATTGATTTCAAAATACGTAAACAAAACCTGACTGAAATCAGAATGGGGATTACGCCATTGTGTGTGAAAGAAAGTAATATTTTATCTTTTTCTCAGCTTTTCGTCGTCACGTACTGAGAACAAGTGTGACAATAAAGAAGACGATGATGTTTGAACATCAACGGTTAAACATCTCATCGACGCTGGAGAACGAAAGTACTAACACATGTTTTACACGACTCTCCAGGACTTCAAGAAAGAAACATCACATGAAGTTTTAGTTTTCGAGACATTAATGACTCGAAAAATGATAAAAAAAATTTATTATAACATATTATATTCATAATCATGAATATATACATATATTTACAGAAATACAACATGGCTCCCCGTATCTCTACGTTTAGGCCTGTGTAGAGTTTGGAGGTGTGTCTGTGATCGTGAGTTCGAATCCCAGATTGTTCCAGTATGTGTTAAGGTTTGTCAGCACCATACCCGTGCTCGCAGGTTTTAACAAAATGGTAAACGTCTAAGACCTACATCACTTCGCGCTTTCTTCATCACTTATACCATGTGTTCACGTGTGTTTTTTTCAATTGACTTGCCTTTGCATGTGTTTGTGTCGCGTGCCACCGTGGGGCAGGACACGCTCACCTTTTTTGCAAACTCCCATCTCATCACTATTTCATTGTGAGTCATAAACACATGCTCATGATACCATCGGGGCGGTCGGGTAGCCTAGTGGTTAAAGCGTTGAAGACCCGGGTTCGAATCCCGACATGGATACAATGCTTGAAGCCCATTTCTGGTGTCCCCCGCCGTGATATGGCTGGAATATTGCTAAAAGCGGCGTAAAACCAAACTCACTCACTCACTCATGATACCATCGGATTCATATAATTGACTCTGCTTTCATGTTTCATGTTTCTTGTGGTTATGGGCAGATTTATCGCTTTCATTCCAACACCCTGATATCACTGAAATGTCGTTCAAAGCGACGTTGAACCTAACACACTGATTCTACCGTTTAATGCCAATTAGAAAAGGTCCGTGATTTACGGTGCATCACGTTTGTAATCTCTGTGACAGAATTAGACACAGATTCCAAATAATGTTGAAAATTAGAAGAGAATTAACGAAACAGAGTAATTATACTTACCATGATGACACCTGGGGTTCGCGAACAGAGCGAGCGTGTCCTGCTTCAACGACACCAGCCGTCGTCGAGGTCGAGGTCACCAATCAGCTGACCCTAAAAATATTCTACGAACATTTTATTGGCGCGTCGATACACTTCACAGCTAAAGGATTGGGACATATGACCCAATTCAACACCCTTAGCTCATGAGAACACTTATCACTTTGTTACTGCCAACGACATAAATATTGGTTTAACATTCTATACATTATCGCTACACAATCAACCTATGTTTTTCCTTGAAGGGGCTACAGTAACCATGGAAACATAAACATGAGAGTTCCACTTGTATGGAATAAAATAAATGAGGAAAATATGAAACGTTTCCATGGTCTTATCACGATTCGTCAACAAATACAAAACTGAGTTGCCAATGTGCTTGTAGATGTAAATACAGTTAAGACGCTTAACGTCAAAATAACAACGCTTTGAAGACTAACAGCCGCATAAGTAAGGTGCCAATAGATCCCCTACTGTGAAAAACCAAACTTACCATAACAAACTATTTTGATGACACTTTAATGAACTACATGTTTTTGTAAATGGATACGGAGCTGAGAAAAGGTTTTCTGTTAATAAGTGTTCGGCGGAGATAGAAGTGATTTAGAACGTCAACTTTTATTAATGGGTGTAGGGCAGACTAGATCTCAGCAGCAGATTCTGAGACAGAAAGTCACATTATTTTACGAATAATGTTTATTTGGACATAGGCCACTTGCTGTGATAGCAGTGGCATACAAGAATCAAGTGACGCCGTTGCTGGAAAAGAAAATGAAAACTGTATCATTTATCTCACTCACACTAAAATCTGAACTTCTAATGTACATCGAATGGGCGTTTTGAAATCCTCGTGAACGATAGTAAATCTATGTTTTATTTCACGGTGATTGAGTGAGTTGGAAATAACGCGACTATCATATTCAAAACAGTATTTGTCAACTTAAGCCCTATTTATAAGAGACGGCTACATTTACCACTTCAATGGAACCCACGAGCATGGGTATTCCCAAATAGTAAAGATGATAATCGGCCCCATTCGAACTCAAGACCAAAGCAATGTGACAAGACTAAGGGACGCAACTCTGCACATCGAATTGCGACGTATTAGATAACTTGGTCACTATAATATATGCTGTAATAAAAGTTTAAAAATCTGTGTTGCCGACACCCATACAAAATTCATACCAAAAATGAATTGGTAATTTCAGCATGGATCGGGAAAATCTTGAAAATCTACTGTTCCATGTGTGCCATACTGAACCTGCGTCAATGACAATGATGTGTGCCAATTTTGAACAAACGATTACCATCTGTTGATTATTTATATAATATATAAAATATACATCTAAAATCACTTTGCGTTTCTTTTTTTGCAGAGTATATGTTGGTTTCCCGTGATAATCTCAGTATTAACATATATTTTATATACGTTTGGTTTAATTTAAGCATTTTTGTGTGGCACGTATTAAACATTGTTACTATTCATACCATTATTAGCACTACTTTAAGTAAAATAACTGTCCTATATCTCCCAGTGACTCTCCCCCAAAACAGTGTAAATAGTTTCATACCCCCCTCCTTGTTTCGGTGACCCAGCCCTGCGTCTCTACGCCCCCGCCCTCACAATAAACAAGAAGTCTCTTAACATTGGTCGCATGACGTACATCATTTAGCACGGGAATTCGTGGTTGTAAACAAAGAAACATATTTTTATGACCCTGTATCCTACGAGGCCGAAGGATACATGGGTCAATATAAACTATGTCTATTTATGTACAGCTACGAATTCTTGTGCATTTATGTAGAAAACGATGCCGAACATCCCGATATTTGATAGTCGTGTAGGTGTTGAGCATGGTTTTTACTGTTCTCACTCGATCTAACAAAATACCTTCACACAGACAACGTAATGTTACACTCTCCTGGCGTGTCTCCTGCATGATGGGTCCGTGAAGATCTGGGGTGGAATGGGTCTTCAGCAGCCCATGTTTGTCGTAAGAGTCGACTGCACTTGTTGTAAGAGACGGCTAGCGGGATTGGGTACCAGGCTTGCATGTCATCGAACTTAGTATGAGATAGAGTGGCCTACGTAGGAGATAGCAAGTACTTAGTATGAGATACAGTGGCATACGTAGGAGATAACTAGTAATCTTTTTTAGATAGAATGTCCAACGTAGGTGATAACAAGTCCTTAGTATGATACAGAATTACCTACGTTGGAGATAACAAGTATTTATTTTGAAATAGAATGGCCTACGTAGGAGATAACAAGTCCTTAGTATGACATGGAGCGGCCTACGTAGGGGATAACAAGTCCTTCGTTTGAGATAGAGTTGCATATGTAGGAGATAACAAGTCCTAAGTATGAGATGGAGCGGCCTACGTAGGAGATAACAAGTCCTAAGTATGAGATGGAACGGCACACGTAGGAGATAACAAGTCCTTAGTTTGAGATGGAGCGGCATACGTAGGAGATAAAAAGTCCTTAGTATGAGATGGAGTTGCATACGTAGGAGATAACAAGTCCTAAGTATGGGATGGAGCGGCCTACGTAGGAGGTAACAAGTCCTAAGTATGAGATGGAACGGCACACGTAGGAGATAACAAGTCCTTAGTTTGAGATGGAGCGGCATACGTAGGAGATAAAAAGTCCTTAGTATGAGATGGAGTTGCATACGTAGGAGATAACAAGTCCTAAGTATGAGATGGAGTTGCATACGTAGGAGATAACAAGTACTTAGTATGAGATGGAGCGGCCTTCGTAGGAGATAACAAGTCCTAAGTATGAGATGGAACGGCATACGTAGGAGATAACAAGTCCTAAGTATGGGATGGAGCGGCCTACGTAGGAGATAACAAGTCCTAAGTATGAGATGGAACGGCACACGTAGGAGATAACAAGTCCTTAGTTTGAGATGGAGCGGCATACGTAGGAGATAAAAAGTCCTTAGTATGAGATGGAGTTGCATACGTAGGAGATAACAAGTCCTAAGTATGAGATGGAGTTGCATACGTAGGAGATAACAAGTACTTAGTATGAGATGGAGCGGCCTTCGTAGGAGATAATAAGTCCTAAGTATGAGATGGAACGGCATACGTAGGAGATAACAAGTCCTTAGTATGAGATGGAGCGGCACACGTAGGAGATAACAAGTACTTAGTAAGAGACAGAGTGGCACACGTAGGCGATTACAAGTCCTTAGCATGAGATGGAGCAGCCTATGTAGGAGATAACAAGTCCTTAGTAAGAGCCAGAGCGGCCTCTGATGGAGATAACAAGTCTTTAGTATAAGTACGAATGACCTACGTAGGAGATAACGTCTACGTAGACAGAATGGCCTACGTATGAGATACACATTCTACGCAGGAAAGAAATTCTGCCTTCTTTGTAAAAGATAATAAGATATTTCAATGATTGCCTTTTCTCCTTCGTAATACAAGTGAATAAAAAGTGTGTGGCTTAGGTAACAAACTTTTAGAATATGGTATTAGGAATAGGACGTGGAATGTGGTACAAGGAATAGTACGTGGAATGTGGGACTAGGAATAGTACGCGGAATGTGGGACTAGGAATAGTACGTGGAATGTGGTACAAGGAATAGTACCTGGAATGTGGTACTAGGAATAGTACGTGGCATGTGATACTAGGAATAGTAAGTGGCATGTGATACTAGGAATAGTACGTGGAATATGGTACTAGGAATAGTACGTGGCATGTGATACTAGGAATAGTACGTGGAATGTGGTACTAGGAATAGTACGTGGAATGTGGTACAAGGAATAGTACGTGGCATGTGATACTAGGAATAGTACGTGGAATGTGGTAATAGGAATAGTACGTGGAATGTGGTACAAGGAATAGTACGTGGAATGTGGTACAAGGAATAGTACTTGGAATTTGGTACTAGGAATAGTACGTGGAATGTGGTGCTAGGAATAGTACGTGGAATGTGGTACAAGGAATAGTACGTGGAATGTGGTACAAGGAATAGTACGTGGAATGTGGTACTAGGAATAATACGTGGAATGTGGTACAAGGAATAGTACGTGGCATGTGATACTAGGAATAGTACGTGGAATGTGGTACTAGGAATAGTACGTGGAATGTGGTACAAGGAATAGTACGTGGAATGTGGTACAAGGAATAGTACTTGGAATTTGGTACTAGGAATAGTACGTGGCATGTGATACTAGGAATAGTACGTGGCATGTGATACTAGGAATAGTACGTGGAATGTGGTACTAGGAATAGTACTTGGAATTTGGTACTAGGAATAGTACGTGGCATGTGATACTAGGAATAGTACGTGGAATGTGGTACTAGGAATAGTACTTGGAATTTGGTACTAGGAATAGTACGTGGAATGTGGTGCAATGAATAGTACGTGGAATGTGATACTAGGAATATTACGGGGAATTTGGTAATAGGAATAATACGCGGAACGTGGTTCTAGGAGTGTTACGTGGAATGTATGCTGTGTATCAAGTAATCACACATTTTTTATAAGCGAACAAGTAATCATAATCATAGACACAGTGTGTTACTGACATAAGGCGTTGGCTCATGTGAGCACTGTTGAGTTTTAACAGTTAATGGTTGGAATATCTACAAGTCTGATCCGATGGCGTATGTAAACAATACCTTAAACGCAACAAAACCAGATGCCGACAAAATGACACCCGATTTTCTTTTCGTCAACATCGAGATCCTGTAATCAGCTGTTGTGATCTCAGTCCGCACTTATCTCGCGCTAAATGTACATTTCAGGTCTTTGTTAACTCAAACTTAATTTGTTTTGACAATTGGAGCAGTCCAATAGCTGTCAATCGGACTGCAAGGCATCTTACGGCAAACTACAGGTCCACTTGATGCGATAAGTTGTCTAATCCGTCTTGTCACTGATAGAGACAGGCCGATGTGACAGGGATCTCAAACGCTCAAGCACACTCGCCTAATTTTCCTATCTCTTCCGCGAGTCAACTTCGTTCCACAACACCGGGCGAGAAAGTGCTACACTGAGGGGCGTATTTGATTACCGACCCGGGTCTATGTT